AAACTTTCTTTAACTTTGGAAACAATGAAATGGCTAATTGTCATGCACACCACATTCCTAGCAAATTAAAGAAAAGTCGGAAAGAAACATTTAAAAACAAGGAGGAAGCAGAGAGTCGTTAATCAGAAAATTCAAACGATAGACCGAGAAAAATAACTTCCCGCCACCTTTGATAACGTCTTCCGCCATTCGCCATGAATCTTTTATATCGAGATAATTCGTTTTTCTCGTCTTGGATTCCCCAGAGGCAGAACGTCTCTCAGCCATTGTCTTGGAAGCCTTCATGACGATCTCTCGGCGCTAAAACTGCATTGTAAAGCGGGGTCGCGGAAGGGCGCCGCCATATTGGGTGTGTTCTCTTCGACGCGACCCGGGGATAAGGTGGGAATAAATCCGGGTGCCGTTCGGGTGGCTCTTGGTTCTTGGGCGGGGGTGGATTGGGAATAGGATGGGGGACAAGGGAAGGATTATTATTATTATTATTTTTTATTTTTATTTTTTTGTATAATGGATTTCTGAAAGTATATGTTTGGTGTGAAATACGCCTGTCTATCATTTTATTGATGTGAAATACGTTTGTCTATCATGTTCTTTCATTTTCCTTTTGTGGATTTATTTCGAATTGATGTTTTTTTTCGTGTTATGCTACATGTCCACTGAACACAGATAATAGCATTGAGGGGAAAGAGTAACTCGAGAGGAACGAATAATGGCAACACTAAGAGATGATTAGAATGAAAGTAAAGGTAAAAGAAAGAACACGCACACGCACACACACAAACACACACACGCACACGCACACACACACACACACACGCGCACACGCACACGCACACGCACACGCACACACACGCACACACACACATATACGAACTGTTTTCTGAATACAATGAAGAGTCTGTCATGCATTTTACTTCACAAAAGATGATTTCTCTTTAACAGAATTAGTGACGACAGTTGACATTAATCTCCCATGCATCTAAATCCCCGTTGATTACAAATGAGTGACGTATAAGTTTCTCTTTCGGAATCTCAACTAGGAAAAAAAACGAAAAGGAAAAGTGAAAATGACAAAAAAAGGCGATGTTATGAAGTGGAAATGAATATTTTTCCGTTCACATACCTCTTTTTTTTGCGCTATTAGAAAACGATAAGTAGAAATATAAATACTGACGATGCCTCCTTTTTTTTTTTTACACTTTTAGAAAACGATGCCCTCAATAGATAAACATACCGATAACAATTCTCTGGTTCACATACCTCTTACTAACACGGATAGAACACAGTAAATTTAAATAGATATATACTTCATTATGTACACATACATATATTAGATTAACAATATATGTATGTACGTAATAACCTGGACCACATATATCCCTCGTAGTTAATTATATTCGTGTTCATAATACGCTCGTTCTCATACCCCTTTATTACACTAACAGAAAACAAACCCAGAAATAAAGACATATGATACCCATAGACGGAGCAGACGACACGCCACTCCATCCTCTCTCACAGTTAACAGAAGACTACCTGAACGAATGAAAAATGACGTATTTATTCACCGCTTAGCGAAGGGTAGTCATCAATTCGCCCAATAATAGTAGTTCGTATATCGAGCCGCCCATTAGCCCCAGTGGTCGTTAGGGGAAGCAGGTAGTCGTCCTTTAGGGAAAGGGGGTGCAATTAGGTCGTCGTAATGAGCTCCGGAGGAAATTATTATCGACTTGACATGGCGGGTTTGTGTCAGCCAGATTGAATGTCACGGGCACAGACAGGACATCCTTTCCCGTCAAGTGAAAAGGAACTGGATGTATGGGGTGGGGGGGGGGGGGGGGGGGGAGGAAGACCGGGGGTGTGGTGTGTGTGTGTGTGTGTGTGTGTGTGTGTGTGTGTGTGTGTGTGTGTGTGTGGCATTTATATGTTTGTATATGATGTCTAAAGAATCATATCTTTCAAATCTGGTAGACAGTATGCACTCTACCACATATACATGTATATTTGTATCTGTATATATACTCTCTATATGTATATATATGTATATATATGTATATGTATATGTATATGTATATGTATATGCATATATGTATATACATATGCATATATATGTATATTTGCATTCATATATATATGTATATATATATTATATATATATATATGTATATATATAATATATATATGATATATATATGATATATATAATATATGATATATATATGATATATATATAATATATGATATATATATATATATATAATATATATATATATATATATATATATATATATATATATATATATATATATAGAGAGAGAGAGAGAGAGAGAGAGAGAGAGAGAGAGAGAGAGAGAGAGAGAGAGAGAGAAACGGAGGAGTAGCTCGTGTGCGCGTGCGTGTGTGAGTGTGCATGTGGTTCCCGCGAGTGTACAGCCGAGCTTTCTACAGCGCGGCCGGGTTGCTGGCTCCTGGCTCAGTGTTTACAGTGTGTGTGCGCGAGATAGAGCAGGATTCGTGAACTCCCTGCCGGCGCCTGTGCTCTCGCTACAGCAGCTCTCAGAACCACATTGCGGTCGTGTAATAAGTGTATGGTGATCCGCAGTGTTGTCCTGCGATTGTGTTTGATCGGTGTGGCGAAGGAAGAATTGGAATAGAATCGCTTTTGTTTCCGATATTCTCATTTGCACACAGGAGAACCTCCGAATGCGGTGTGGATAATGTGTTGATAATGTGTGGAGAGGAGGGGATGTGTTGCGCCAGTGGATCTCATCTTCAGTGACATTCGAAGGATAAGATAGACCGTGATTTCGATGAAGATAGGCCTACACGACGGAGAAAGGTCTTCTGATAAAAGTGAAAATCGCATGCGTAATCCTTTGGTATACGCCCTGTGCTTGCCCTAATCGATGGACTTATAACAGACAAACATTCACTGAGTTATATATAAGATAGTGAGATTTCGATATCACCAAGGCACAGCAGCATCTGATATATATGTCAATAGAACACAAAAGTTACGGTTTCAGCCATGGATCTGCTGTCTCCCCCCCCCCCCTCTCCTGTTGGTAGAGAACTGTACTTTACGCGGGGACTTAAAAAGGGACTTGAAAAGGGTCTTAAAAACGGAGCTTCGTTTATGGACAGAATAGAGTGGTATTTCTGATGTCTCGTTGGGTTTATTTTATTAAGGGATTGAGTGGTTATAGCGGTTCGTGTGTGATGAGAAGTATTATCTATTTATATTTATGTTTGTGTTATATTATTTTTTCTCTCTGTGTTTGATGAGAAGTATTATTTATTTATATTTATGTTTGTATTATATATATTTTTTCTCTCTGTGTTTGGTGAGAAGTATTATTTCTTTAATATTTATTTTTTGTTATATATTTTTTTCTCTGATGGGGTGAGGAGAGATGGATAAATGACACAAAATTTGGGGTTCTGAAGCAATATATCTCGAGCCAAATAGTGAACGACTGATGGCGGATCTCAAGTCATCATTTACATAGATGGAAAAAAAAAAACATACGGTTCTGGTGTAGGTTCAGCTGTTAGTCTTTTTTCTTATATATTCTTCTTAGCTTCTTGTCTTCTTCATGTAAATATTATTAGTGGGTATGTTGCTGTTGTCGTTATTATTATTATTTTTATCATTATTATTATTATTATTATTATTATTATTATTATTATTATTATTATTATTATTATTATTATTGCTGTTGTTATTATTGTTATCATTATTATCATCATTATTATTATTGTTGTTGTTGGGGTTTTGTTATTTTTATTATTGTTATAGTTTTGTTATTATTATTAATATTCTTGTTATTGTAGTTGTTGTTACCACCACCACCACCACCACCACCACTATTCCCCTCCTCCCTTTTTCTCATCACTTTCCTCATCCTTCACCTATTCCTCCTTGCCTCCTGGATTCTTCTTCTTCTTCTCTCTCTCTCCCTCCCCCTCAATTTCATCTACTAACGCACACAGTATGGTACGGCCTACATGAATGACGTCACGAGCAAGGCGGTGTGAGGTGACGTAGGTGTAAGTCTTTTGTCGAGAGAACAGACTGGTACCGACAGCGGGGGCTTGGGAGGGAAGGATGGTTGCTGTGCAGACTACATTGTCTTTCTCAGTCTGTTTGTGGGGGGGGGGCAGGCGTGTTGGGCTCTGTTTTGTCTCTGGCTGTTTTATTCTCCCTCCTCCTGTTTTCTCTCTCTCTCTCTCTCTTCTCTCTCTCTCTCTCTCTCTCTCTCTCTCTCTCTCTCTCTCTCTCTCTCTCTCTCTTCTCTCTCTCTCTCTCTCTCTCTCTCTCTTTTCTCTCTCTCTTTTCTCTCTCTCTTTTCTCTCTCTCTCTCTCTCTCTCTCTCTCTCTCTCTCTCTCTCTCTCTCTCTCTCTCTCTCTCTCTCTCCTCCCTCCCTCCCTCCCTCCCTCCCTCCCTCCCTCTCTCTCTCTCTCTCTCTCTCTCTCTTCTCTCTCTCTCTCTCTCTCTCTCTCTCTCTCTCTCTCTCTCTCTTGGCTATCTATCCATTTATCTATCTGAGAAAGGCTTCATGCACAACTTATTTAAAAGAGAGATAGAATAAGGCGCCCCCTCCCAAGACACACGCACCACACACACACACACCACACACACACACACACACACACACACACACACACACACCACACACACACACACACACACACATATATATATATATATATGGAATATAAAAGAAACTGGTGAAAGAATGGATAGATGTGTATGTCGGTATACATCCTTAGATATATTCATATATTATGATAATGACAATGAAAATAATAATAATAATAATAATAATAATAATAATAATAATGAGGATAATGATGATGGTGATGATAGTAATAATGATAATAATAATGACAATAATAATAATGACAATGCTAGTCCTCATCATCACCGCTTTAATATAAACAATAATAACAACAATTATAAAAAGATACTGCTCATAATAACAACAACAATGATAAA